CAATCGAAATATGTGTGAGCAGCATGATGAGAAAACATTTCAAAGTGGTCCAGTGGTTCGACTGTGAAAGTAATTACCGTTCAATCATTGGTTTGTAGTATCAAGCACCTCTTCATCTATTTCGAAGTTGGCAGCTAATTACTATCATTAGCATTCATATGGAATATGTCGCTCAAAACCGTATACATAAACCTATATTTAGTAGATAAGTTTCATTATATTCAGTCAGTTATAATCAACATAGAGTCTGAAACAAATGTTCGTTAGCCCGTTACCATACCACATTAGCACGACGAGATGAAATTAACAAACGGAGGAGTAAAAGGAGTCAGAATATATACCAGCCCCAAACCCTTCATGTGGAGATGCTGGGTAGTGAGGGCGGCCTTGGTAGCTAACCTAAAAAGACGGTGGAGATTAGACAGAACCAACTCTCTGATGCTGTATTTGGGTTCCTCAGACTTCACTCTTCGAGGCTTCGAAAATCGTGACGAGCTGTCCAATATGTACGCCTATGTATATGAATTGCATGAGTCTCGGCTTGTGTAGTTTATGAACTTAGGCATATGCAAAGGGTACGCGCGTGGGTTAACACAAGAAACATAATCTGAAATGTCTGCCCTACATCTAGTAAAATTTACGGCCCAATCCTTCAGGTCGAATACATAATAAAAAGATGTGATAGCAAACAATAATGGGAGGTGACCATCAACCCTCCCCGAGTGCTTTTTTATGTGTGCCATGAAATGAGTGGAAGTTTTTGTACCAGTAGTATGTATATAATGCGTACGAGATAGTCAATGTGGCAAATACGCTTAAACGGAGTGGTGATAATCTACACTACCAGGTGAGTGAATATACCTATGGGATGAATGGAAATGTGTGTGTAATTTGTGTGCATGTAGACTATACTTGCTGCTGGTGAGACGCCCGGGTGCCGAGAACCGGGGCTTCCGACGATTTCCACACGAAATCGGGTCCACGAGGTAGGTTCGCGAGCCTTGGGAGGCGGAACTTGATACAGATAAGCCCATGGGCTTTACCGAGTGAAGCTTCACCAACCTCAAATGAGTGGAACACCGCACCAGCAATGATAATGAAAACACCCATGCATTAGAAACAGGGATCGAAGAGAAAGAGCGGAAACGTACATTTGAAGGGATACTGAGACTAACTATCAAGAGAAAGAGTGAATGTATCCGTGCCATTGTGAAAGATTCTGAGCAATGTTACCTATGGTCTCCAGTCACTAATGAAAGTTATCTCGAGGACTCCAACCAGGTGGTTTGGATCGATCAACATGACTCAGACCAATAGCCAGTGGCTTCATACACTGATATTACGTTTAGATTGGGTACTCTTAGCTTTCTTCTAACGTACCTTTCCACCAGTAAATGTCGCCTATCGAGACAAGCGGTTGGATTCTCAATACCGGTTTCTGTGATAAGTCCGAACAGTTGTCTGCTGTTAACTATTGCCGCTGCCTTTTCCATCTCCCTTGCTTTCGCTATCCACCAACGTTCACGATCATTGAGTAGGCTTCTTATCAACCTGAGCTTAAGCTGACTTCGCTCTTCATTATGTTCAGAGCCAGGTGGAATGAGTTTCCGAGCATCTATCAGTGCGGTAGATGCTGCTGAGATCCAGTGTTTCTCCCTAACCTTGTGTTTTACCGTACTAACAGATATCACCACTGTTTTCACGGCTTTTCGGATATCATCTCAATCCGCCTTGGGGTGGGCATAACTTAAATGGCTGCCTAACTGTTTTTCTAGTTGTTCGTCAAATATATTCTTAGCCTGGCTATCATTAAGTATAACCCTAAGAGGTCTCCGTACAGTGTCTTTCCTACGTCCAGTAAGACGCAGACGAATACGCGCTCGCACTAGAGCATGATCTGCATCTAAGCACGTGCTCCGGAACGAGCGACAGTCTTCTATCGAGCCCCTCAATCAGTGGCTGACAGCGATGTGATCTAGTTGGGTCCAACGTTGGGACGAATTCGGGGTCGCCATGTCAAAAGATGTTTCTCCTTATGCTTAAAGTTAGCATTTGCTAGAAACAGACGGTCACCATTATCTATTCTTTGAGCCACGACACCATAAGATCCATCCAGGTGTCTTTCCTTGTCGCTTAGTTTACCTACTTGAGCGTTAAAGTCACCAGCCACTATTACTACATCAGAGCGAATAGCTTCTTGGAGGTCAGAAAGCTTTTTACAAAACTCATCTTTTAGTTCATCTGAGCTATAGTCAGTGGAAGAGTAGGCAGAGACGAAGAAGAAGTAACGACGAGTGTCCCTACTTTTCCGAGTTCTTACTGTTCCGTTCAGTCGGACAGCGCACAAACGACTGTCTACTGGGATCCAGTCTAAGAGCTAGTTCTGCCCTAGGACTCAATGCTATACTTACACCAGAGAGGCCACGGGAAGCAGTATCAGGGCTTCTAGATACACGGAGTGTGAATCGAGTCGGTTCTTTATTTTGGCATGGTGAGGTCAAATGAATGACACTACTCGGATCCTGTATGCGCGTTTCGGAGACGCAACACACATCGATGGCGCGAGATTCTAGAGTCATAGCTAAGAAAGCCTGTTGTTTTGTTTGATTCTAGGCTGCCCACACTGTGGAAGGGTACTTCTTGAGGGACATGAAAAGGAAGTTAGGTTAGTGTTGGTCTCAATGACCTGAGAGCGTGTCCGCTGAGCCCAAGGGACAACTACTACTACACACACGGCCTTTTTGTGAGGAGTTTTTAACGTGTTAGCTCCGTCTTTCAAAAGGCCTTACTACCGGAGACGGAAAGCCGTGAGGTAAGGTGATGTGTGACATTTTTAGGGTCGACCTTTTCTAACCCCTTCCTTCTTTGTGAGAAGGAAGCATCACTGCAGATGCTGGTTGTCCGAAGGGAAACTCCTTTCTGCTGTCACACCCCTCTACAGTCAGCAGTACGACTTCCCCCTCAAACCTTGAGTTGCTGCCTTTAGTCTTACCGTCCTCCAATCTACCTACCTGGCATGGTAGAACCTACAGGAACATATGTTCCAGCCAATATAGCTCGGTTGAATCATCATGATAGACAAACCCGAACACCACGTCAAGGTAGCAACTACGGTCAGTTACTGTCTATCCGCAACCAACTTGGATGGGAAATTGAAGCAAGTCGACCAAATCTTAATGATGTTGATGAGGCTATGGGTGACCTAAAGTGAAGAAGAGAAGTAGGCTCTGATGGATTAGCTCCAGAAATGTTTAGGGATGGTGGCCCAGTTTTAGCTGCAACACCGACTGGGATACTAGCTAGAATTCGGGAACTGAACGTAATCCCATCTGGCTGACCTTGATTGATGATCGTCACAGTTCGCAAGAAAGAATGGCCTAGCAGAGTGGTTCTAGATCCAAAAAGATAACTACCTAGATAGTTTCAGATGAGTTAGCTCCATACTTTTAAGGGCTTGCCCCAGGAGACGGAAATCCGTGGGATAAGGTGAACTGTAACCTTTCTGAACCCTCTCCTTCCATATTGGAAGGCTACGTTGCTGCAGATGCCAGTTATCTTAGGGAAACACTTCAGTGACGTCACATACCATGAATTTGCTGATTTTAGTATTACGGCTCTCCAAACAGTCTATCTGGTACAGTAGGACCCACGGGAAGGAAAATCTCAACCAATATATTCCGACCAGGCCATTGATATACGCAAACCGGATCAGCAGATTAAGGTAGCAGCTACAGTCAGTAAACAATGAAAGTGTAATTATGAAAGCATAGCGAAATAGAAAATCTAAGAGAAGATAAAAAGTGGATGTATCTGAACCAATCCGACTGATACCAGGCCATGTCATTTAACATCTCCAACTACTCATTTTGGTCATCACAAGAAACCTGGCCAGGTAGTCTGCGTCTGTTAACATCTATCAGATCAAAATTCAATATCTTAATGAGCTGATTCCAAGATTCAGATGTTTCATCATATTATAAACAAACAACTGACAAACAATAAGTTCATACACATTAAATACAATTTACAACAGAAATCAATTTCTGAACAATCGAATTTCTATATTAACATATATAATTAGAGTATTTACAAAGACACGGTGTACATAACGCTACAATATTGTCTCAATAGTTAAAAAAATTGATTTGATAAAATACTAAGATGACTAACCCGATTGATAAATTGTTCATGAGACAAATCCTCAAGTCATGAACAGAACAGATTTTAAAGAATGAAAAGGTGTCCAACTGACTGTATATATATAACGGAATCAAGGCTGACTAACCAAAAAATACCTAACTGGTATATTACGATCAAGAGTTACTTAACAAATCACAAATAACTAACCAACGATAAAAATGATTGTCACAAAGCAACCAATATTCCTTCAACATTATCCACTGTATTAAGTTCGTTATGTAAGGTTATAATATAACCTTGTAATTCCTAGAACCTCTTACAATCCTGAAAAGTATGTCTAATGGATTATTCATGAAATAAACATTTTACGACAAATAATTAAAAAGTAAACTATAAGTTGCCTATTTGCTAACTAGTGACAAAGTTAAATCGATTGTTTACTCTATCAAGAGTGTTAAATGTAATATGTTTCTTTACATTCCTATTTGAACAGAAAAAAGTCGTTGATGGTCACATATTAAAAAATTGTTTCTCCAATGAATATTTGAACACCTATGAAGTCCTATTTGTTGTGACATACAATAACTGTGAGTTAACTGAAACACAGAGAAATACATGCTATGTTTTACTTAAGTCTATTATGAAAAAGAAGGAGACATTGAATTTGTAATAACTTACGAAAAAGTTCAAACTATGAGGTTCAGTTGGTCTGAAGACCTATAGATTGGAAGATGAAGCAATAACATAATAACAAGTTACTACATATATATTTACATCTCTGACATGAACATTAGTTGGTGGGTTTCCCAAAATGGAAATAATAACACTTAATAATTCTAAATAACAAAGATCGAGAAAGTTTATTCCGTGGCATCAAGTTCTTCTTCTGTTGCAACTGTAGCCTCGGCTTCTTCTTCATCCACAAGAAAATTATCACTGCTTTCTGCCTCAGCTATTCCGCCTGCAGTCATGGATTCGTTAAAATTTTGAGGTAGCTCACTTGAGGATTGTGTAACAGAATCCTGAGCTCTGTGTGAGTCAAATCTTCCACGTCGATGTAAGATGGAAATTGAGTTTCGATCAAAATTACTATTCTGAGGATCGCGATCAACACGTGTTCGATTACGTTCACCTTCAAGTGTAAGATCTCTTAATTGTTCATCTACAGTACGACGTAGGTATCTTTCATTCACTGGATGTGTAAAATTTCCAGCTCCAGGTACACAACATTGAGTATGAACATCATTCGATTGACTACAATGGCAAAACTGAAGATAAAAAAGTACAAAAACCTACTTTGAATAATTGTTATGAAAATGACATAAGAATTAATTTGATGAGAAATAAAGAATCAGTCAAGTGTAATCACGGTACGTAGAAACCGGATTGTTAAGAGATGAATAAAAAACTCTCGAAGGAGGAGGAACAAGTATAAAGCAAAGAAGTAAAATACTTTAAATTGCTTATTCGAGTAATAACAACAGTTGCAAGGTCACCTGAACGTGGTCCTCAAAATAGTGAGTTTTATCAAAGTGGGGATTTGTGAAGATTGTAGCACTTTTAATAGTTGAATTCATGAGTCGGCTCAATTTACATCACCATTCTGATAGTAATCATAAGCTCACTATTGAGTAGCTTCAAGATGGATTTCCTAAAGTTCTAGTGAGAAGTTGTGACCAGTGGAGTCCAGTCCGTGTTGGATGGAGATAGACGATGGGTGGAGAGTTGCGCAAGATCATGGATCGATTGAAGTTAGGCATTAACGCTGTTCGATGCCATTTCAGTGGTCTAGAGACTAAACGTTTGCGCGTGAAACTGAAGGTCCTAGGTTCAAGTTCCGCGTGAGGGGTCATGAATGCTCACTGAGGGGCGAAACGGCCGTCCAGTACTCCCAAGTTTTCAACGGTGTTCCAACTCAGATAGACTCATGAATTAAACTATAGTGGGTTTTGCTAGTTAAATGTAGTCAGTAAAACAGACAATGAAACATCTTGAGAAGCATAAATATAGTTGCAAAAAATGTCAACTGATGGATATTTCGTTCAGTGATTCTTTAGTGCAATAGAGTAGTCGCGGAAAAACAAGTTATACCATTATAAAACCGACTATTTATTAAGCAATTCTTTGAAGCATTGTGAGTATACAATGACGATGTTAAGTGTAAAGCTAGTATATAAAGAAAATACATTAGTTGATAAGACGAACAAAATTAATCAAATGAAGTAGTTACAAGTCACGATTAAACCCAGTAGTTCAGTGGTTAAGGAGTTCGATCTTCATCTACCAAGCCATGGGTTTGAATCTTGACTCATCTATTTCAATATGGGTAACTGAGTAACATCACTAGCCCTTGTGCTTAAGGTGTTGTCCGAAGTCAGGTATATGAATGCGCACCTGGTAGATGAATTAGTAAAAATTCCTAATTTTCGTTAAGTAGTAAACATCGAATATTCTAGTTGCCAGCCAAAAATGACTTCAGCGGACTGGCATCTAGTCAATAAGCCCCCAAATGCCCTGATAAGGCTGAGAGTGGGGAGAGCCGCTTTCTCTCTTGAAATTCTCTCACATGGCCACACGTATATAGACTCTGCCAGGGAAGTCCTACTCACTGCCTTCTCGCGGTGGGGGTGTTGTCCACGAAATTAAGACGAAAAGCGAATTTCCGGCGCTCTAACCGGGTTGGCGGACACCTGCTTCGGTTCAGGCACCCGAGCAACATCACAGCCCTCACACAAATTTGATGAGATGTCAATTAATTCACAAATGTGTGGCGCATATGTGTTTGGTGCCCCCTTGTACTAATATCTATGTGTTCAAATAAATAAATAAACAATTAGTCTCCCTTTTCATAAAGCATTCAAGCAGACTACGTATGTTTGTAGGAAATGTGGTAGAGGTAGCTGGAAATGCGAACGTCGTGCAACTGTAGGTTTAAATTTTCACATTAAACGCCAGTAATGTAACAGGAACTTAATAAGAGAGCCGAAAGAAGTAGAAGGCAACTTAAGTATAGATAGAGACTAAGAATTATAGAAATATATCTAGAACATAAAGAATGTTAATTTTCAATATCTATATCACGAACCAATTTCAAGTTTCATGATCCTAAACTATATTTAATTTATTTGTTCTAACACATAGATATTGGTACAAGGTTCATACGCCATTCCTTCATTCAGGATACTGGAGCCCATGTGCACCATTGGTTTGGAATCAGGGTTTCCCAACTCCCATAGGTAGGTCCGCCATATCTACCAACCCGGACATTCGCTTTTCGTCCTCTCATTTTCGTAAACAACACCCCCGCCACGAGAAGGCAGTGAGTAGGACTTCCCTGGCAGATGCTATATACGCGCGGCCATGTGAAAGCGTTTCGAGAGGGAGAGCGGACTCTCCGCACTCTCAGCCGTACCAGGGCATTTGGGGGCAAAAACTATAGTTACCTTTCGGTGATGTAAGGCAACGGTGTACAAAAAGAGCCTACAGATTTTGAAGGACTCAAACTAATATTCTCATGTTTTAATTTAACTTTTTAGCGGAATACTAGTCTTTTAGCATAATTTCACTTGTTACGAGTTAGAAGAGACTATCAAGAATATTGAGGTCCCTAGTTGGAACTTAGTCAGTAGTGTCTTTGTACTTTTAATTTGATGAAACAATATTTTTAAAGGATCCTAAATTATAACCGATCGGTGTAATAGGAATGTAAGTAATTAAAGAGGGACGAATATCTTTTTGATGACCACCATTCACAGTAACTCCAAGGAAAAGCTTACTGTACACCCATACATGAGTATACAAGTCTATGTGCTAGTTGCAGAAGTAATTGATTTACCTAACACACTGGAATTCGACATTTGTTATGCAAATATTTTGATCAGCATAACCATTTATCTGTTTGAATTCTAGAGTGTATGTTTCATAGAACAACGTGTCCTGGAATCTACGTCCTAATGGCTCTCGAAAACTCGGTAACTTAAAGCAGTAAACAGTAAGAGAAGTAGAATTAGTACCCTTACTCGATAGTTAACTATTTATTTATTTATTATTTTAACACATAGATATTGGTACAAGGAGGCACCAAATACATATGCGCCACACAAATCACATTCGATATGTGTGTGAGGGCTGTGATACTGCCCGGGTGCCCAAACCGAAGCAGGCGATAGTTAACTACAATATGAATGTGAAGAAAGCAGCAATATTTTTTAAAGGATGGGACGGAACAACAATTTTACGACTAGCGACAAGTGGTTTAAGGAGGACTGGCCATTTTGAAGATCTAACAAAACCTTTTTAAGGTATTTTTATAGGATAATTGATATTCCATTCAAAAGCCTTTTCCACGTTGATGCACAAATTAGTATAGTTATCCCGGTTGTGGTTTGTCTCATACTTACAAGAAAGATGTGCTTATCATATGCTTGTTATAAAAGCTTAATGACGCGATTAGAACGGCAAAGTAGTTAATTTACATAAGATTCTACAATGTAACCATGTGCACACCTGCACAGCAGATTATTTATTATTCTTTGAACGCAAAACGAGGAGCGCTAGAGGAATATCCACAGACGAATACAAAATGAGTTACAGGAATGAAAAATTTACCTTAGAAAGTTGTGCCTCAAATTCTCCAAAACAAGCTTCTACTTCAGCAATTTTAATTCTATCGTCGTTAATGTGAGAAGCGCTGGAGTCGAAATCAGTGATTCTTGGGGGTTCAATGGGAGGAATATACAATACCGTGTTGTAGAGTGGCATCTCTAAGATCAGTCCCAGTTAGACTTATGGTTATTACTGATGTTGCTACTTGCTGCAAGATCCTGAGAACGCTGATGAGTCAAATTAAGGTAGGCCAGATATGCGACACACCCAGTTATTGCAGATAACCCAAAAGATATTACGACCTTATTCTAGACAAGTTAACATTAAGATTCATATTACTGGTTTGACGAAAAGTTCAAAGTTCAGAAGACGAAACAACGAAGTACTTTGACGACCCTCCTTATATTTAGTCATACAAATACAACCGATGCCGTTACTGGTGATCTATCAGAGCGATTATTTAGAAAACCTAGAAATGAACAGAAGTACTGGCTCTGAACTCTGAGAACATACAATTGTATGCTAAGAGCGTAGGGTAAAAGTACCGCCAGAACGGCCTTGAGTGAACCAATCAGAACTAGGATTGCACCACGTTTATATTCGCCCGAAATTAAAAGCACAGTGCTTTAGCGGATTAAACTATTTGCTTCTAGTTTTACTTTCAGGATTAACTTCATGGGAAGCTTGTGTTACTGCTGAGTATTTGTTGCCTTCATTAATAAATGTAGGTGCATTGTGTTATCGGCTCACTTTTTCACTTGTTCTCGTTTCTTGTTCACCTCATTCACGCTACTCTGCGTTCTCCCCCACTACGCAAAGTACCTGTAGCGGTAAATAAATCCCCAAAATAAATAGCTCTAAGTTTTCGACATTGGATGCTGACCAAATGTTTAAGTGGACTCATCTAGCTGAAGGCGCTCGGTCATACATCCGCACCAGATCACGTGTGATAACGCCGTGCTCAACATCAACCGCAATCGCTAGCCAGATTAGATCAGAGAATTCCGATATATTGGTCATCGCCAAATACACTCTTCCGATCTCCTCGACTCTGTCTTTTGATTTCTCTGGGTGGGAACGAAATACATTAGAAGGTGTTACTGGTAGAAGCGTTGTCAAACACTGAATACCTGTGACATCCTCATACCTATTGGCTAGATACGAACCGCTATGGTGCAAAATAGCATGTTCAATGGCAAATAACCCCCCAAAATAAATGTTGCTGTAAGTTTTCAACATTGATGCCAACCTCATCAGTTTTGCTGGACGCACAATAACTGGAAGCTCCCGGTTACTCATCTAAACCAGATCATCGTTAGGTACGCTATGCTTCACACTCCTCACACCAAAAACCAACTTGGATCACATACTTTTGGAAGTGTCGACTTTCTTACAAATATTTCTTTGAACGCGTTCGTCCCTGACTTAACTGGATCGGTACTGTTCGATTATAAAGGCGTTCTGGACAAAAGGTTGTCAAACCTGAATATCTATGGTATCTTTAGTGGCAAACTCGACGTAATCTGGAGCATCAAACGATAAATTGTAAGACTGTTCCTGGTTGTAACATTATATATATCATTTTTTAGGTGTTGTGATATATTTCTTTCCTCAAGTATTTGGCTTATTTGTATATTTAATCCTCATTATGACGAAAGATATTCAAACCATTAAAGATCAAAGCTCTTGCTTTCCCCCACCTTTTAAATGATGCCATCCTGGCCTGATAATATAGTAGCCTGGCTCTACCATGTAGAAGTTGACGGAGGTTAGTTGATGGATTTACTAAGTCATGTGTTTATGAAGTCTCATCCTCTAGATGTAGGTTAGACCCAGTTACGATTAAATATGTAGTCAGTCCATACTTCTAAACACTACCCGAAAAGTACTTTAAACTATACAAAACAGGACCAGAACTACCATGTGTAAGCAGCAATGTTGCACGTCATATCACGACTAAAGACCCACCTGTGGCCCGTTTCTCTCTCAAAAACCCAAGACTGACCCAAAACGAATTTGATCTTACGACAAACCAAGGAATTATCAGGCTATCGAACAGCCTGTGAGCGTCTCCTTTGCATGTGTCCCCTAGAAAGAAGAGCAGTAATTGGCATCCAAATATGATTACTGACGACGCACTACAAAAATCACACATCACCACCACCACACATCCACACCCTGCCAGATACCTCGAAGGATATGACTGTGTTCTCAAAATTCATCTTGGTTAAAGCGCATAACCAAATTCATATGGCTGCACAAGACATTCCTAAAACTCCCATGATAACTTCCTTTGACGATGTCTCTCAGTTTGAGATATGCCAATCAAATTTTCTGGAGATTCATCGGTGACATATTCAGAGGTCTCGAATTCGTGCCGAGTATGTTGATGACCGCTTAATTACAGGTCCGGACAGAGAATACCATCTCTAGCATCTGGACCTTGTTTTACGACTACTCCAAAATTGTGGTATTATTGTGAACATTCAAAAATGTTGAATTGGAACCGACATTTTTAACTTTCTCGGACATACTACAGACGCTTAAAGTACTCGTCTTCAGCTAGAGTGGCGGGCATTCTAGACGGCCCAAAACGGACCACAGCCAAACAACTGCGCACGTTTGACGGACTGTTAAGCTTTAATCGACAGTTCATACCTAATTGCACATCTCCCACAAGATCTTTAATTAACCAGCTTTGTGAACATGCGAAAGTCATCAACTTGCATGGCAGCGAGAAATCAAGGAATTTTTGTCAAACCAACCATGCTCATACACCAGGACATCACAACAACTGCTAGTATCGCCATAGACTCATCCGGCTTAGCAGTCAGAAGCGTCTTGCAACAATGGATATAGAAAACTTAGAAACTCTTGGCATACTTTTCGGGCCGGTTGCAAAGAATCAAACTGAGGTGTAACGTTGTTGATAGTGAACTCTCAGATCTGCATTGTGCTGTACAGTACTTTCAGTACTTTGTGGAGAGTCGAGAATTCTCTCTGTTCACTGACCATAAACCTCTCAACTCTTCTCTTAACTCTTGTTGAGTCTCAACAACTTGACTATATCTTGCAATGTACTTTAGATATGCAAAATGTTTTTGAGGTAGACAATGTAGTTGTAAGCGCTTAATCTCATATAAATTTTTCGAACACCCAGAAAGCGATGATACTGAGCATGGTGGGTCAGGGAACGCCCGTTAAAGGCCAAAAGGAGAGCCTGGTATGAATGAAATATTTCTTGGAGTCTTCTGACTACAGCTCTTACTAAACGTTGAAACAGATACAGTATCATGGTTCTCAGCGACTGGTAATGTTTTCAGGCCAAGCCAGCAGCCGGAATGCAAGACAACCGCAAATGTCTCTACGGTATTATGAACAAAAGAAAGCCTACAAGCCATGAGATCGTTATCTTTTAAGGGTCAAATATAGAACATCTTGCTGGCTTAGAAATGGTAGAGACCTTCATTTTCAACTTCATGGGTCGACTAAACCAGTAGCCTGCAAGCACGGAACGTCTCTCAACTGTGGTGCTGGTTGAGAGTCTGAGAAATCAACGTCTTGGTCGGTATTAAAGAGATTAGAATCCCTGAACTCTGGAGAGTTATCAGAAAGTGGCGACATCCGACGTATGATCTTTGGGTGGCGCGTGGAAATCATCGGCATGTCAGTTTGCGATCTGCCCACGAACTCACTAGATTAACACTAACTCTTAAGACATTGAAAGAACTCCACCCCCTTCGGTATTCGATGGAGGTGAAGAGGAGAACCGGGCCTGTTACAGACCAGTCACGACATTCACGAGGTAATGGAAGGACCGGTCAGCGAACAACTGAGGGAATACAAAGATAAAAACAACTTCCTCCATGAAGCCCAACACAGATTCAGGAGCGGCAGGTCCTGTGCGTCAAATCAACTCGTAGCGTGGGAAAGCTGAACGACTTGTTCAAACTATAAGATACCGATTCATGTCAGATTCCTCGATTTCGTAGAAACCTTTGACACGGTATCTCATGTACTTATCATTGCAAAGGTTACAAAGGCATGTTTCAGTAATCCACTTCTGCCTTGACTCAAAAATATCTAGAGGGCAGGATGTTTCGTACCAAAGTAAGTTGCGTGCACTCAAGTGCGGAGGCCCCAACATCAATTGATTCATAGGGAGTACCCCTAGGCCCACTCTCTTTTCTATTTATATTAAAGACTGGCTAAATGAAGTTAGCTTGGCGACACCGATCTGAAGGTCCACAAAAAGCAAAAACATTCATTTGAGCTTCACAAGGACCTTACAACGAGGCTTGAGACTTAATTTTTCGAAATGTTATATCATGAACTCTCTGCCTCATTTGGCGCTGCTGTTGGAGTATAGATTGAAATGAAACATCTTCCGTGAAGGATTGTTGATACATGTAGAAGACTGTAAAATCTTGTTATGTAAAATTTATAAGTACACAAACGTTCTCTTATTGTTACTCCTTTCATTCACTTTTTATTTGGAATATAGTTCTGTTCCTGTCCAAACATAATCTGGTTTGGTGACTTGTAGGACGTGGTAGTGTCTAAGAATACTAAGTAATAGAAATAGTTGAGTCGTAAGTAGAGAAATAATAACAGGCTCAAATCACTTTCATTTCATGCAAATCAGCTTCTAACTGTCTTCACAGGACGTGATCTCAGGTTTGTAACCACTGTCAGCTTAGAAACTAGCTCAAACTACATGGAGGATAAGATAAAACAAACGCGACTTTCTATCTTATGTGAGTGCGACTCCGTGCACTCAACCCAGAGTTATTCCAAACACTGATTAAAACATACGCTTGCCCTTACCTTGAAATCTACGGCGCCGTGACTCTTCCTCTCCTCAGAAGAGATAGAAATCTTACGGATTAAGTACAAAGACATGCAAGCATGTGGATGATAGGTTCCAAACACAAATTTCACGAGGACAGACTCTAACACTCGGGATTATTTTTTAATCTATCGGAGAATAAGAGGTGATTCGATAATGGCATACATAATAAATACGCTGAACCATCCCAGCGCGAGCATAAGGTAGTGCCATTGTTGCCACGCTTCTTGAAGCAACGCCTCAAAAATTGCATAATAAACGACAGAAAACCAGATACATTTACACTTTTTCCCATCAAAAGTTGCCCATAATTGGTATGCTCTCCCAGCCTAGATAATCACGGCCCACTCAATAGATAGCTCGCTAATTGATTATCACCTCGTTCCTGAGTCAGACGAACCTGATACATCTCTGATAAATTACTGCGGCTATCATATCCGCATATCAGTAGCTACTTCCCACATCTCTAATTGACATCACCGACCTCCTATTACTATATTAATTTCGTCTTTTTAAACACTATAAATTAATTGGATTACTGTTTATTTTTGAAGCAGTCATTCCT